GGTGAAGGCACCGGACTTTGTAGTGACTTGGGAGGTGTCTGTGATACACAGGAAGGACTTTCAGCCCACTATAAATATATCAGCTGTTTTTCTCAGGCTCTGGGACATGCCCCTCCCTGCAACTACAGTTTGCATTGCCAATAAACGTACCGTTTGCTGCAATGGGACACACTGTGTCAATGCAAAAATTGACCTGGATAAGACCTATAGCAAGGGCAAAGGGATAGCACTCGTCTACCCTCATACTAGGGTCCTAATTTGGATAGGTCACCTGTGCTATTTGTTAAAAACAAAACCCTGCACTTAAGAGCAGAGTAATGCAACTGTGTGGTTTGGTCCTCCAATAGAGGGATTTATCACAACTCACTGCTTGAATCTTTAACTGGAGATGCTAGATGTCCAAACCAGGATCCCCTGTGGACAAATGAATCAAATCACCACAAAGTTCCTGTCCTGAAGTCCAGAAGTCCTCATGCTACCTGACAGAGAACTATGGCAAGGGCTAATGTGCACCCATCTTCTGCTCATGAAGAAGACTCCCAGTAGACTCAGTCCCAGGCTGGGTACCAAATTCAAAAGAGGAGGATTTCAGTTCAGGTTCCAGAGTACCTGATGCCATTGCCCCATACAACATCTACAATTGCATGCCAGGGAGACTAGAGGTCAATTACCCAGCATCCATAAACAAGTCACAGCATTCACAGATAATTAATGAAAATACAACATTCAAGAAAAGAATGAAGTCTGTATAGGAACAGACTTTTAAAAGTGCTAATTTCTGTAAGCTTTACATGCCCATTGGCAAGGACATAATTAACAGAACCAGGGCAGAGAAAATACTTTATAATACTGAACTACCAATCCCAACCACTTCCCCGCTAGGTTAATTTTAAATTTGTATGTATTTATGTGCATATTTCTTTTCTGCCTCTTTGGGGGGTGGGAATATCTCACAAGGTGGCTTATAGATAATTGCCTCAAAAACAACAACAAAAAATCAACTGTAAGATCCAAGCATTAAACATCATTAAAAACAACAACATTTTTTTTAAGGACAAGCAAAGTCAGCATATACAGAAATTAATCATAAAAGCCTTCCGGAATGAAAAAAAATACCCAAAGCTGAAATGCACACAGCGAAGAGGGCATGACACAGATATCAAAGGGAGACCAGAGACTGAGATGGTGAATCTGAAAATTTGGGTGGATTCACAACATGTATGAAGGAGGGGTGGAAGAGAAAGTTGGTTCAATTTGCACTTCCAAGAGCAATATGCAAACTGAAATGCAGCTACCCTTCAGAAGTCACTGAATTCTCTAAATTTTCTGACACAGTTCTCCAACTAAAAAAAGGTAGAGAAATGCATTACATTGGGGGAAAGTGTTACATAACAATGCCTTTATCAATAAAAACAACATGCACACAATTCATTGTATTATGGGAAGGGACTTGCAATAACGTATGCATTAGCGAAAACTAGATTTAAAAGAAGAAATATGTATTAAAATGCTGATGAATTTCAATGAAAAGTTTAAAATAAATTGCAAAATGATGTGGAAAAGGAATTAGCTGAAATTAAAATTTGAGAGAGAGAGAGAGAGAGAGAGAGAAACAGAGAAATGAAAACTGGGAGATTTGTTTGTCTCTAGTTTGAAGGCAGTTCTTTTCACAAGCAGGTTCCAGACTGATCAGCGAAGAGCTGTGCTGAATCTTTCGTTTTTTCTCTATGCACTGGTCTGTCATCATACTGTAGTTCATGCGGTCGCTGACAGATGGTGCTAGCACCACAAAAGAATTACAACCATCTAGTGCTCCCTGAGAGCTGAAGAAGCCTGTGAGGAGGAGGGTGAAGGTGAAAAGGCGGGGGGGGCAAGAGGGGCACTGTGTGACTTTGGAAATGCTGTCGTGAAAAGGGGGTTAGTAACTGCATTCAGTGGGGAGATCTCAGGGGTTATATGTGTCTGTGTGCAAGAGCAGTTTGCAAAAAGGAGGAAGGCAAAGGTGGAATGAAGGTGAAGGTGAAGGTGAAAACAAAGGGGACTGCAAAATAGGAGGGGGGGTGGTTTCAGAACTGGAAGATGAAAGATGGCTTAGTATGGCTGGGAGAGACCCCTGTCTGAAATTACTGATAGTTACTGTACGCGACACTGATCTAGATGGAACATTGATCCATAGTTTGGCTCACTATAAGGCAGCTTCCCATGTTCCTGCAACATGACAGAGAGCTCTCCAAGGCACCTTTAATTATCATTGCTATCTTTGGTTAAATGTATTTATCCTGAATTAGACTCTGAATCAGCAACACCTGAAAAATTGCAGAGACCACCATTCTTCTCTAACAGGCTGTTCCCGTTTCAAAATATTAATGGATTCATTTTTCTTGGTGTGAAGTGGGCCATCTATGCATCACAAGTACCAGGTGGGAAGAATCCAACTGAAGGTCCAACTTGATGATGATGCATTCAGTTCATTCCGGGGGTTGGAGCAACATCTGACTGTTGCTATGGCGACGCTGCTGAAAACATCCTCTTTGTTACAAGAGATGCCTGCTTGGTCTGTAACTCTTGAGAAGTCAGCCTCCGTTTTGCAAGTCTCTGTGAAGGCGAGGGTTCTAGGGAAGCACCCTGTTTGAGGGTCCTCAAGGAAGACATCATCAGTGGGTGATCTTAATTAGTGAGAGATAGGACTTATTCACGCTTCCGTTTGTGCTGCAATTTGTAAGCACAGGTCTGTGATTTGTAGGCACAGGTCTGAGCAGGGGTTATTGTTTTAGTTTTGGTCCCACTGCTTTCCCCGGGGAAATAATAATAATAATAGTAATAATAATAATAATAATAATAATAATTTATTTATACCCCGCCCATCTGGCTGGGTTTCCCCAGCCATTCTGGGTGGCTTCCAACAAACACTAAAATACAATAACCTATTAAACATTAAAAGCGTCCCTAAACAGGGCTGCTTTCAGATGTCTTCTAAAAGTTTGGTAGTTATTTTTCTCTTTGACATCTGATGGGAGGGAGTTCCACAGGGTGGACACGACTACCAAGAAGGCCCTCTGCCTGGTTCCCTGTAACTTGGCTTCTCGCAGCGAGGGAACCACCAGAATGCCCTCGGTGCTGGACCTCAGTGTCCAGGCAGAATGATGGAGGTGGAGATGCTCCTTCAGGTATACTGGACTGAGGCTGTTTAGGCCTTTAATTGAATTGTGCTCAGAAACATACTGGGAGTTGTGTGGTCTCGGCAGCCGCTCCCAGTCACCAGTCTAGCTGTTTACTGCTAAACTGGGACAAACGTCAATCAGGTTTCCTGCAAATCACGCTACAAACGGAAGCATGAATGAGCCCATCAGAGGAGTTGGAGGTGCAAGGCTCCAAACAAACAGGGTGCTTCCCTACAGTTCCCCTGAACCTGCAGCTTCCTAGTGATGCTGAACTACAACTCCCAACATCCCTGACCACTAGCCATGTTGGCTGGGACTGACAGGAGTTGGAAGTCTAGCAACAACTGGGTGGCCACAGGTTCTCCACCCATGACCTAAGGGATCAAGAAGAGCTTCTCCCTGAAGTAGCTCATTTCTCTCTCTCCTGTAAAGGTAATGGTAAAGGTAAAGGTAAAGGTAAAGGTAAAGGTAAAGGTAAAGGTAAAGGTAAAGGAACCCCTGACCGTTAGGTCCAGTTGTGACCGACTCTGGGGTTGCAGCGCTCATCTCACTTTATTGGCCAAGGGAGCCGGCGTACAGCTGCTTCTGGCGAACCAGAACAGCACACGGAAACGGCGTTTACCTTCCCGCCAGAGTGGTACCTATTTATCTATTTGCACTTTAATGTGCTTTCGAACTGCTAGGTTGGCAGGAGCAGGGACCGAGCAACGGGAGCTCACCCCGTCGCGGGGATTCGAACTGCTGACCTTCTGATCGGCAAGTCCTAGGCTCTGTGGTTTAACCCACAGCGCCACCCGCGTCCCTTAGCTCTCTCTCCTGTAGTTATCTGAAAACAATGCTCCATTGTGCCATTCCTAGGTGACTTAAGGGGGTGTGAACTGCAGCTACATGAGCAATCCTTGCCACCCCATCACTAATCAGTTCCCAGCCACCCATTTTCAATTCATTTTAAAATTGCAAACCACCTTTCTATATCCCTGTACTCAAGACAAAAACAACAAAATGTACAACAAAAATCACAGTGCCACCGTAGGAAGCTGCCTTAGAGTGAGTGAGATAATTGGTCAGTCTAGTCCAGTTCTCCAGGGTTTCAGGCAGGAGACATTTCCAGCCTTAGCCAGCATCATCTATATCTAAATCAAATGCTCCACCAGTGAGCGATGGCCTTTCTTCCTATTGCAACCCAAAATATAACTTGAAAATCAGTCAGCAAAATTAAAGAATTCATTTTGCATATCATATGGCAATATTGGCTAAATTATCAGCAAACAATAAAGCAACCCTCCGACCCAATTATAGCAAATGACTAATCACCAACAACCAAGACAACAGCTGCAAAAGACAAAATAATTAAATAAAAAATGCCAGCAAAAGAAACATCTGAGAAGTTAAGTCACATCTCTCCATCCCTATCCTGTGGTACCAGCCCACTCACAGTGGGATAACCATGACACTCAAACCATCCCCATCCATTCCATAGAGTCAGGGTCAGTACAATTTCTAGTTGCCACTGCAGAGTTCTTAATCACAGTTCTTAATTACTGTGTGTGAATGGCAGGATAAAGACAGCTTCAGGCAACCAGTGGTTTTCACTTCTAATGCACACGCACTTCTTCCACTGAGCTGGGTTACCACTGCCCTCCACAAATTGCAGAAATGTCTCCAGCCATTTCAGCACCCGCAGTCAAACAGGGAACATTTGGGTTCAGGCCTAATCTGAACACAAACATCCTACCTCGAGATGCTTCACAGAGCCTCCTGTAATTCATAGAAATGTAGAGTTGGAAGGGACCATGAGGGTCATCTGGTCCACCCCAATGCAATGCAGGAATATGAAGTTGTCCAATTCAAGGATTGAATCTGCAACCTTTGTGTTATCAGCACCACGCTCTAACCAACTGAGCTATCCAGGTTGCTTTACGCCAGTCTTCCCCAACCTGGTGATTTCTAGCTGATTTGGACTACAACCCCCATCACCCCCAACCTGATGGGACTTGTAGTTTAACACAGCTGGAGGGTACCGTGTTGGGAAGGTTGCTGGACACAGTCGCACTTCCCTGCCAGTCCATTTAAAAAAATAACATTGACTCACAGAAGAGTTCTAAGAAAAGCCTCTAGTAATGTAAGTGCTTTTTCTTGAAATCTTACCAGAATTATAGCCAGTCTGAATTACTCCCTTGCTGAGAATGCGTACTTATAATTAACGAAGGGGCTTGGCTTATAAGAACTGATGGCAAAGCACTTGCTGACACGCCACTCAAGGTTTTTACGTTGGGGAAGATGGCAAAATATGGACTTTGCTCGTTCTGAGTTGATGAAGAGATTTGGAGGGTGGTTCAGGATTTGAGCTACAGCATCAGTGAGTGACAGAGCCAAGGGTGACCTGCAGCTTAATGCAGCAACTGAAAAGTAGCGTTGGGTTGTGGCTGATGGACACTTGACGCATTAGCCTCTTTGGGGTGTTATGTCAGTACATAGAGCTAGGGAAGGGAAACTCAGACACAGACCCTCTCTACCTAGCATAAGAACATCATAAGAGCTTGCTGGACCAGGTCAATGGTCTATCTAGTCTAGTATCCTGTTCTCACATGAGGTGAATGTGAGGCTTGGGTTCCCCACCCTGATGAAGAACAATATTGCAGGGGACAAATATACTAGCTCTGCCTCCAGCATCACTATCATGGACCCTCTGACTTGGGGGGCTGCATTTGCTGCTCTGCCTCAGACATTAAGATATTTTGGTCTAGCATTGAAAGAAACCATTCCCTCTCTGAACTATCCAAGTCATGCTCAAGAATGGCATCTCTACCTCTACAACCTCACACTTGAGAAGCAATTTCCTCCTGTAAGAAAGATACCAATTTTTTTGAGAGTACAAAGGAGGAAGGGGGAGAGAGAGAGAAAGGGAGAAAAAAACAGGGGGGGGGGGAATCAATCCTTTAATCCAGTTACTCTCTGTGAGAAAAGTATCATAATCTGTTACATTTGTCAGAATCTCCTTGGATCAACGGCATTGCCTTTGATTTTTGACTGTCTTTGGCACTAGATAGATGTTGCACGGGAGGAAGAACAGGAGAAAGTGGGCTTGGTTTGAAATCAACGTTCAACCTGAACAGACGTTTACTTCAGAGATCTACCACTGTGGACACTGCAGACCCAAGACACTTTTGCACCCTGCTTAAATGTTTTGTTGCACCACTGAGCCACCAATTCCTGCCTTAATCCATTTGCAACAACACTTGAGGGGCTGACTGAGATGGATTGCTTCCTCCTGCTGTAAAACAGGCCTGGTGAACAGTGCGAGACGTCTTGAAAGACCACAGCCGGCCCTACTGTTAGGCAGAATGCCTCAGGCAGCACAGGACAGGGAGATACGTGAAGTTATTGGAGGACAGAACAATGTCCGCCCCGCCCCCCTGTCACCAGCTAGCCTGCTGCCCTCCAATGAAGTGCAGGATGCTGTTCTGCTGCTACACTGACATAAGGTCCAGCTCCCCAGGTCAGAATGGGAGAGAAGGCATCTTGTCCTTCACCGGAGGCGACTGTATCAACTGCCCTGGTCTTAATGGGACCGTGCCACCTTGTCCTCTGCTTACCTTGGGCTTTACCTTTGTAAAAAAATTATGGATGAATGCAAATTTGTGATGCAGCAGCTGGAAAAGTGAACATAACAACTCAAGGGGGGAAAGCTATGTTTGGTAACTAGATAATTGGCCTGGGTGGCATCAAGAACCCACTGCCCCACCAACAATGAGAGCAATGCCCTTTGCCGAGATGAAAATGGGTGAGGGGCATGATGGAGCATGTGCAGAGTGCCCATTCAGTGTGCCAGCGGAATGTGCCAGTGGAACATGAAAATACCAGACAGTTCTAAGTAGGGTACAATGCAGTTTTAAAGCTTAGCAGTTACATACAGTCGTAGTATAGTCTTTCCAACAGCATTCCAACCCATACTAGGCTGTAGCCCAGAGCAAACCTGCTTCAAACACAAGTGCATTTAGACTTTAGATCATGCTGAGTCACTCTCACATGCTTGCTGACTCACTCTAACATGATTAATTAGGTGCAGGTGCAGGACAAGCAACCAATTAACCAGTAGAAGTAGTAGTAGTAGTAGTAGTAGTAGTAGTAGAAGAAGAAGAAGAGGAGTTTGGATTTGATATCCCGCCTTTCACTCCCCTTCAGGAGTCTCAAAGCGGCTAACATTCTCCTTTCCCTTCCTCCCCCACAACAAACACTCTGTGAGGTGAGTGGGGCTGAGAGACTTCAGAGAAGTGTGACTGGCCCAAGGTCACCCAGCAGCTGCATGTGGAGGAGCGGAGACACGAGCCTGGTTCCCCAGATTATGAGTCTATCGCTCTTAACCACTACACCAGGCTGGCTCTCACCTAACTTAACCCTTTCTTGTCCTTTCCCTCTGCATTACCAGGGCAAGGCAGCAGTGGGGCAAGGTCAGGAGAGATCCAAGTTGGCCACTGCTGCCTTGCCCCCTCACACACCGCAACTACCCTGTTAGCACTAATTTGTTTCAGTGCCAAGAATATTTTCAACATGTAGGTGTTCAACTTGTCCCATTTAAGAAAGGAGAGCTTATCTTTAGAATAAGACAATAAATCTAGCTAAATCTGTGCTCCGAATTCTGCCTACGTCACCCACCCAGCACTGACAACTCAAAATTTTCTACCACTGTGCTAAGAATGCTGAAATGATCCATAATAATAATAATAATAATAATGACAACAACAATAATTATTATTTCTTATTTATACCCCGCCCATCTGGCTGGGTTTCCTCAGCCACTCTGGGCGGCTTCCAGCAGAATATTAAAATACAATGATTCATCCAATATTAAAAGCTTCCCTGAACAGGGCTGCCTTCAGACATCTTCTAAAAGTCAGATAGTTGTTTATTTCTTTGACATCTGATGGGAAGGCGTTCCACAGGGCAGGTGCCACTACCAAGAAGGCCCTCTGCCTGATCCATACATTCACATACCTCCGTTAGCTGCTGCTGCTACTACTAAAGTGCAGCACAGCACTTTAAAGTTGCAATTTAAGGAGGTTCTTGTTTGTTTCAGGGAGGTATTCATTCAAATTAAGAGCATCTGGACTTCCAAAGATCTGCTGTTATTGAATGGATACATTTGGGATGCTAACAACCAACAGGCACTAAAAGGCACACAGCCCACCTGCCAGTCACAGGTACCAATGTTGCGTTTCCGATCTGCATCTGAAGAGGACTCAGAGGCCTGGATGCACATAGGCTCAGATGCAGCTCCTGAAGTCTTCCTGTGCTAACCTGTTTACTCTTCAGTTGCTTCACTGCCTTTTCACTTAGATAAGCTACTGATTTTAGCATTACAAGTGGGTCCCGCAACAAAATATTGCATTGGATTCTGACCTTCTAGCAGGAATGCTAGAACACTGACATTTTGGGTTCCTCATTTTCCCAATCTTTAGTTTGGTTCTCTGTCTCTCCACATCTCTTTGTGATTTTTCTTTCTAAGCCCTTGTGAAGATTCAGCAACATTTTAGCATGCGCTTCTTCTAACTCTAATGCATTTTTGCCTAATGCGCACATTTTTGCAAGAAATTTCTCCTAATGCAATGCACCTTTGATACTATCGTCATCAATGTGTGCAATTCTATGCAGATTTTACCTGATTAAATGAAGTTCTGTACCCGCTACTTGGCTGGAGAACAGCAGCGCAGAATTCGGGGAAGTGTGACTTTCAAAGGACAGTGGCTTTTCAGTTCACATATTGTCAAGGCTGCCTCAAGTCTCAGCTCACAAAAGACCAACGCCTATGTCTTCTATGTAGCAAAGTGTTTGGTTGCAGTGCACTGTTGACTTGATCCTAGGCTGCGCAGCTCACGTCTGCTGGTCGCTTGGACCGCCGAAGTCCCCTCTGAACCGTCCCTCCCCTGCACCAATTCTGGGAGGGCCTGCAGCTGCTCCACCTCTTTCTCTCCTTCCTTTCCCGGCAGGGTCACTCTGCCCGCTGGGGGCCTCGGGCCCCTCCTGGATTCCTCTGACGCGGAATCAGACTGCTCAGCTCCCCCCCTCCCTGCACGGAAGCTTTGGGACCTGGCCCCTGCCTCCGGGGCTCCCTGCAGCTCCGCGCGCCTCTGGCGATTTGAACTGGCGCGCGCGCCAGCCCTCTAACTTCTCTGTTCTTGTTTAAAGGTGAGCTTACTTACTTTGCATTCTTGAATAATTTCTTCCCCATCCCTAGCCTCCAGTCAGCAATGCACTCCTCTAGAACATGCCATTCCATTCATTCCCATCTTTTTTATCCGCTATGTAGCTCAACATTCCTCAGCTAGGAGCAAGCATGCTCAGTCCTCATTGGGTCATATTTGTTTTATATTTTGCTGCCTAATATTTTATTATCTTAAAGTTTTTTGTACTTCTGCAAACTGCAAGGTTCCCCCAAGCAGCTGGATATCTTCTTGTGCCTGGAAGGGGCCTGTTTTAGCTACGTCATCACTAACACCACCTGAGTTCGCAGTTAGCGGGAGCGATTATTTCCACATAATTCTGCATAATCCTCTATGATTATTCACTTATGCTGGAGGCACCTCTTATATAGCTCTTTTGATGCTTTCTGACCTTCCTTTTTCAACTAGCCATTTTATTTTGTTTTTACTTGAGATCATTCACAGTCTGCTTCTATTGTTTTATCCCTTGCGTAGTTTTGCTGCCCTGGGCTCCTTTTTGGAGGAAGTGGGTATAGAAAAGTAATAAATAAATATATGACATTGGCCTGGAAAAGGCTTCCCTCCCGCAGTTTTAAATAACTAGACAACATTCACCAAGGATTCAGAGAACAGGCATTGAAATTCACAGAAAATCATGGGGAGCAAATTCATTTCAGCTCCGCTGCACCAGATGACACCCATGTGTGTTTTGC